CCCCCCCGGAGCCTTTTTAGGCTTGCCAGTGAGAACAGGCTCAAGGTACAATTGCAAAAGCATGCCTGAATCATTGCATTTGAATGAGAATTATTATGAAATCACCTATGTTAGAGAAGAGGTCAAGAAAAGGGAAAGGCACTGATGAAAGATAGCCAGAAAACAACCCCCGAAAGAGAAGCTTGCCTAAAATTGTAACACCAGTGCCCTTTTGGCTCACCGTACCATCCATGTCACCTCTCTCCTATTAACACTCAGCTAGCAGCAGAAGCAGAGGTAATAATACAAATACTAATTTTCCTATCGTTAGCTCTTCCAGCTTGGAAAAAAAGAGTGAGAAACTGCAAATGAGCTCCACTGAGCAATGCACCCGCAACGCAGACCTGCAAAGGGGCTCCGGCTGTCACAGGGAGCCGGCACATCTTCGCCTCTCGGAGCTGGATGAATGGGTTTAAATGTTCAACATCAAACCTGGTTCGCAGCAACACGTTCCTATAATGAATTTTAGGCATGGGGACACCTGGATTCTATTCAGGGCGCGATCGCAGGTAGGTCAGATCTCTGCCTCGTGCCTCAGGTTCCCTACCTGGAATCAGGAGATAATGATACCCCTTTGTAAGCGACTTTGAGCTCTATGGATTAAACTTTTGCTTTGAATATATTCCACGAACCAGATCCTCAGCCTTGCATTAAGGGATGTAATTACGAAGAGGTCAGGCATCTGGGCCCCATGTGTTCAGGATTTAATAATATTAATTGAAAAGGCATTTGGGCTCAGATCCTCAAAAGTGTTTAGGTGTTTAAAGCCCATCATCTCCAACAGCAATCATGCATCTATAACTCTTTGGAGACGTAGGGTTGTAGCACAAGGATTCAGGGGGGGTCCCTCAGATCTGTCGCCGACTCAACCCACGACATCTGCATCTCCTAACAAAGCACAAGGCTTGGGTTCGCCAGAACAGATGATCAGTTCAAGCAAACAGCCATCAAAATCAATTGAGATAATGGGTAAAGGATCATCGAGTGTAAAACCTTGGACAGTAATTCCTGACGAGAACTTGTGAAGGATAAACCATGACAGTGGGGTTTTGCCTGGTCTCCTAGGAAAATGAGATTTATACAACCACACAGCAGCCTGTCTGCCCTAATAACCTTAGAGCCTATTTCAACTTCACTCAAGTTTGACATCAAAGTCCAGAGCCAGAAATGCCACATTTTTGCAGATGTTGTAAAAACAGGCAGCAGAGTAGAGAGAAGAAAGACGTTCTTCATGTTTTTCCTGGAGAGAGAGGCAGAGAGGGCTCAAAGCCATCAGGGAAACCATCTGGGAGTTCAACCTCATAGGATATATGGCTTCATTACTGGCGTTGCACGGTGCCCTGATGGCCATGGTCCCAAAAAGCTCTATCCCCTACAGCGTTTATGTCGCTACAGGTAGTGAGAACGTGAGCAAACCCTGGGAGTTGCCTGACTTTACCTCGACTGGCACGTCCCATGCACATGTTGTCTGGCGTTACTACTTCTTGCTTGATCGTGAAGTAGTCTGTCTGAAGGGATTCCGTCTGGACTGGGTCACGCAGGATGACCGAGGGATAGTCGTTCTCGTACTTGAGGGACAGGAGCTCTTCTGAGCTGATGGGATGGAGGGTCTGGTAGGACTCTGTGATGAAGCTGGGCTCGGAGAACTCGGAGGGAGGCACACACTGTGCATGCTCGATGCCGTAACCTTCAGGCAGAACAGGAGCGTCAGAAAGCAACACAAACACCCCAAAGAAATGAGAGCATTGCTCGCTCCCGCTCCAGTCTCCCACAGCACCATCAGATTTGAGGTCTATGGTGCAAGAGGAGACTGTCTTCAGATATAAAATGCCTGGCACAACTGGGCTCTCATTTTGAGTAAGGTTTGTAAAAGCTGCAGAAAGATGGTGTCTTATAATTGCAGCGATTTAAAAAAATAAGCCATCCTCCAAGCCACCAATGTGCGTTACACCTAACTCCTCTCAAGCAAGCTCTAGTGGGAAAAAAGCTGGAAAATCACAAGAGCATAGTCTCAGCAAAGGAGATATAGGACAAAGAAGTTCCATTGATGATTATAATAGATGAATCGCTTCCATGGTCACCTCTCGTCACTGGTCAGAGCCTGGAATCCTAGTTCAGGTGAGTTGGATGTTTTTGCTAGCTGATGAAATACATCACAGATTCCAAACGCCCTTAAAGAACATCTCCAAATCAATGGCAATGGGATGTGTGGCAACCTAGACTGATGATTTGCCTCCATCCTTGCTAGGCTCCCACCTAACAATTCAGAATTAAGCCTTCTTCCCCCACACCACCCCTTTTTTAATAAGTTTTTAAGTATTTTTAATGTTCTCATGTGTTGAGGTCACTTTTTAGGTCTGCTGAGCTACAGCTTCAAACAAATAGTGCTTGCAAAGTCGGATCATGGGGTCTCAAGACAGCCACCAAAAATAACAGGTGGCTTCTAAATAAACCCAAAACCCTAGAAGAGGCAAAATTACACACTTAGCATGCTCTGCCACGACGGAGCAACAACTGCATGGTTCAGTCCTCAGAGAGAGGCATAGGTGGAACTTTCATGCCCAGAAGCACCAGAATGATACTGGTAATTGAGACTTACTAATGAAGTAGTCTGAAGTATAGCGGGATTCTGGATATGTTGTATTCACTCCATTTGCTGGGTACGGTTTTACCTCTTCTGCAAAGAGAAAAGGAAGGAAATGTCATGTGTCCATAGGCATATCGTGCTTCGCAAGACTTGCTGTAATGCACAGAGGTCTGAACTTCCTAAAATGCTCCTCTCCGGGTTAAACTGGGACATTCAAAGGAACAGAAATTGAGTTAAGAGCTGAAATCCCACCAAAACAAGTGTTTAATGCACTTGAGTTCCTTTGGGAATCCTTGCTGCAGGCATGCCCAAATTTAAACACAACAAAACAGACCAGCAACAGCTTTCTCAATCAGAGGTTCCAGGTGGTTCTGAAATACTGGTTTCATAATTTCCTTGCTTGCCTTAATTTCTGTCGGCTTTCATGCACTTGAGGATTGCTTATCACACTTACATGTATGAGCTCATGAAAAAAACCCCACCCTACAAGGACAGCTTTTTTCCTGCAAAAGCCTCTATTTTTAGATCAGCAGTAGGTGTGTGCAAGCAAGTGGGTAATGCATACCAAAACCAGCTCCTACGACCCCAAATTAATGCCAATTCCCAGCCTACACAGCACCTTTTACCTTCCACCTGATGCAGGCAGAGGATGGCATGCTCATAAGCTTTGTCGCGCCGTCCATCACCCAACTCCTGATACATCCTCCACGGCGTATATATGGGCAGCATGCAAAATTTTAGCCTTTCTATAGGCATAATTCACCAAGAAAGAGCACATATCACATCAAAGCATAGATTCTCTGCTTTCCATTGCTTTTTCTGAGCATTCTGGGACTCCCGGGCTTGGCGCTGAAATTGCTTTCCCATGTAAAAGCCTCATTGCTCCTATCCTGACCAGTTTTTCCATGAACGCCTTACTCATTCCAGTACAGCATGCAGGCAGAGATACTGGCACAGGAGATTTATTTTCTTTGCAGAGGGTAACCAAAATAAAAAAAAACCCACACAGACAACTCTGGGTTATGTTTATTTCTGCCGAGGCTAAAGAGAAGGGAACCAAAGATAACGCACGTTCGCTTGCAAGGAGCCTAATTTTGGCCCACTCTCCTGGGGATTGCAGGGTGGAAAATATTCTCTAACAAAAGGAGTTTTTGTGCAAACAGAGAGACCTAATGAGAAACGCTCTTTTCCTCTCCCCACGGTGTCTGCCAAGGGGCAGGGTGGGTGACCACAGAGAAAGAGAGCAACCTTCAGCTACGTTTACAGTCAAGCGGAAGGCACTGCTGACTGCTGGTAAGTGAAGAGGTTATTTTAGGAAGAAATTGGGAAAAATAGGCCTGAAAATACCCAAATCCATGGAGGGAAAAGTCACCCATCTGCTTGCCGTTTTTAAACCCTGCGCAGCCTGCGGTACATGAGTCACTCTCAAAAAGCCCTCACCAGGGAGGCACGTTAGCTGAAGGGACAGCAAGGTCACACGCTGTCCCTGCATGACCCGATGCCGGCGGTCACACAGCTACAGGTAAAGTCAAACATCTGGGGGTTAACCACCACCGGCATCAACACCCCCAGTGCTGACGGCGGGTGGCTGGGGAAGACGGAAGAGATGGGGACTGGGCAAGTTGGGCCTTGACTCCATGGGTCAGCCCGGGGAAACCTTGATCTCTGCACGCTTCACATCCCCAGCTGCAAAGTGGAGACAAGAGTCTCCTCTCGCGTGGGGAGAGACGTGGCAGGGACAGTTTTGGAGCATGCTTGTAGCACCAGCACAACAGAACCCAGATCTTGTCAGGGGTTTGGAGATGTGCTGCTAGTCAGACGAGTCCCATGACTTACAGAGAACAGCAATTAGTCCTTGGGGTAAGGCTATTTCTTGGAAGCTCTTCATCGTTACTCTCCAAATACTTCACCGATATTTCCCTTCTGGGAAATGAGTAAAGAACCCACCATAGAAGCTAAGGCTCAGACAGCTTATGCAAGAAGTGACAAAGTCACCAGTAAAACTGAACTCAGAATGGAGATTTCTTGGTTCCCAGGGCTATATCAGCCGTGTTGAGACAAAGAAATTCAGCGTTTTCTTTCGGAAGAAAAGCTGCAACAGGCACAGAGATTCCCAGCTTCTTTGTAAAAGCTCTTTTATCTCAGACCTTTTGCATCCTCCCGACTGCAGCATCTGAACGTGTGTCGATGCTGTAAGGGAACACGAACCCGACTTTGCCATGAAACTACAGCACTGAGTTCATCTCCATGCCATGGGGAATCTGCAGGAAGGAGCTGCAAACCCAGCCCGGATGCCTCAGTCGCTATCTGCGGCACATCGCGCCCCTCTCCCGTGGGTCACAGCTCAAACAAATGAAAAGGGGATGGTAGAGCTGCAATGCAAGCAACAGCTTATAGCACGGAGAAACAGGAATGACCGCAACGTTTTGCTCTGTTTGGTTAAGCTGCTTGCTGTTGATATAAGCACTCAATAAAAATTACGCAGAACGAGAAGAACAGAACAGATCCAGAGTGAAAGAGCAGAAAAACAGCCTGTCGTACACAGACTCTGGGAAGAGCTGTGTTTACCTTTTGCAAACCACAGGTAGAAGTAAAATTAGTAATCAGCAATTAACATCCATTTGTCAATGGTTTCCTGGAAGTCATAACTTTGCTCCCCCTCCCCTTCCTGCCACCAATACAGGCCCGTGGACAAGCACGCAGGGGTCGGTATGACAGCGCAAGGGATATTCCAGGAAAGCAAAGAGCTCTGAGCAAAAACGAGCTAGAGAGAGAGCCCAGATTTGCTGCTGCTGCGGCTCAGTTAAAGGCGTTAAGCTCTTCACCTGCTCTTTCAAAACCATCCCAGGTTAGTGTTGCTTGGGCGATGAAAACCGACACCCAGAATCAACGTGTGGGTCCCCAATCAATGAAAATTAATGGCCTTAATTAAATGCTGTAGTGCAGGGACTGGCAGAGGTGGCTTCTCATGTGGGGCGCCACAACCACTCTAAACAAAATGTCATTACACCTTTAGGGTCATGAAACAAAGAAAAGCAGCTTCCAGTCACAACTGGGAAATTAGGGTGGGATTTTGCTGGTATTGTTGTATGCAGTTCTACCGGAGGAAGTAGTAAAATTCACCACGGGAGCATAACGAGCTGAGGAAGAATGATTTGGAAAATCCCACCGTCGTTTCCAGGCAGGCAGAGCGTCCCTGCCCGCTGTGCATTCCCGCCAACAGGCCAGCGCAAACACCCTTCCTCTTTAAAGCAGCGCCAGGATTTGCATTGCCCGCTACAGGTTGGGATGCCCGTTTGAAATCCTACTGGAAAGTTGGGCTTTGAAAGCTGCTTTTGTTGGGATTAAAGCCCAAGGGGAACACCTCACTGCAGAGCCAGACTGTGAGCCAAGGTCTTTGGAAAGGCCCAAAATCAGGCCAGCCACGACAGCATGAGCCATTCACCTGGAGACTCCAGGACTCACCTTTCTGCAAGATCTCCAGATGTTCCCAAAGGATATCTCCCACAAAGTCAGGTGCTAACTCCAGGAAGCACTCCTTGCCCAGGGCGCAGAGGGCAGCTCCGTTCATGCAAAACTTCTGGAAATCCACTCCCTTCAGGCTAAACTCGTTCACCGCCCACATCACCCAGTCCCGCACGTGCGTCTCCGTCCACTGCTGGGGATCTGCACAAACGGGTTGTAGGAGAGATCCATAAATGAGCAACCACAAGCCATTTTCCCAGGAAAACAGGACCCAAATGGTGCTACAGCTGCACCTGCACTCGCACAGCCTCATCCCAGAGAGACTGGCAGTCTGTTGGCGTAAGGGTAAAACATGGGGGGGTAACACCGTACTTCCAGTTTGGATCGGATTTCCAGACAAATTTCGTGCAACAGACAAGCTTTACATTTGCCTGGGACTTTTAACAATCCCACCAATTCTCTGACCTCTTCTCCCACCCATTTCTCCATTTTGCTTGGTTTCCCCCTGCCATCAGCCTCCTGTAAAGGGTCCACGCTCCTTCTCCATATAGCGGAGACGATTATACGGAAGTCCAGGAGCTGTCTCCAAAAGGAGACGGTCCCCAGAGCTGCAGGAGCAGTCACCCAGAAGAAGTCAGCAGGACAGACGGGCACAATCTGCCAGATAGCTATAGTTTGCAAGCGATACCGAAAGGTTTTCCCTGTATGTCCGTATTTTTTCAGCTGAAGCTGCCAAGAAGCAAGGCGATACTACCTGAAGAGGACCAACAAGAGAAGGGCAGCCTGGCAGCAGGACCCCATCTCCCAGTCGCTCACTGGGAAAACCAGGTCTTACCTTTGGGGATTCCCAGCCGCTGCTGCTCTTTTGCGAAGCCGCTGAAGGTGGCTTTCAGTGCCTGAGACATCATTTCTTTGCTGCTGGGAGTTAATAAAGGCACATCGGCACATTCCATATCTGAAAGAAGCAGGAAGAGAAAAATGGCCATAAGGACATGGGACTGGGAAAGACGACAGAAGCCTTCATAATGCAACAGTCACTGAATTGTCAGAAAAACAGAGCAATCCATTTCCCTTTTTTCTTCTGAAATTTTCACACCCCGACCTATAAATCTAAACCCTGCAAGTCCATGAGAAGACTTCTTCAATAGAATAAAAGTAAGTGCGCTGAGAGCAAGCCTGTGCTTTAAGGGCACAGACAAGCCATGTCCGGGACGATAGGTTACATGGTCTCCCTACGAGTCACCCGTGAGTAGGCTACTGGATATTCAACAGTGGTATCCAAGAACATCACAGGCTTCATCACCCCAGGTGGCATCTGGAGCTTAGGAGATGGCTGAGCAGCTCCAAACACCAGTGAAGGTAGAGAGTCCTATGCCAAGGAGAACAAGAAAGCAGGAAGAAGTGCATCTCTGAACTCCCACTCCACCTGAATTCCAGCCCAAAGAAAAGCAAGAGGGGAAAAAAAAGCATTTTTAAAGAATCACGGGCAATCCTGTAAAAAAGTGAGTTGACAGCAGGCTGAGGCAGGATGAAGAACCGGCAGAAAACCCATTTGAGGAGGGAGGGAAAACAAAGAGCTGGAAAATCCCACATTAGCACAGAGTTACATCATGCGCAGCCCGTAGCAGGGAGCGACACGATTCGGAGTGAGTCACCGAACAATGCTCAGCCAGCCCCATGGGAGAGCGCGGGGCCAAGCCAAGAGCCGGGCCTTGGACTAAGTCCTGATGAGAAGCAAAGCTCTTCCTTTCTTTTTCTTTTTTTCCCCCCCTTCTTCTAATTTATTTGGAAGGAGGCAGATATTTGCAGCCAAAGAGTCTCATAAACAAAAGCAACCGTTTAAAAAAAAATAAAACCTCCTCAATCTGAATAAAGGTTTGGCTCTTTTTCATATATTTTAAGCGTTCCTGAAAAACATTTTTCGTGGAGAAGAAAAGCCTCGTACAACCACCATCTCCAACGGCTGAACTTGATCGCTCTGCTATGTAAACCTTCCACCTGAAGTCGGTTTAGCACGGCAGCCTACTCTTCTCCGTGGAAAAATGACAACATCAGCAAGCTTTTTTGGTGTTTGCGTGAATGTCTGGATGTAGACATCAAAAGTCAGCGAATTCGCTGCTTTGTGGGAATCCCAGCCACCTTGGCTTACCTTCCGCTGTAAGTTAATTTGAGCTCTGATTTAATAACCCATTATACCTGCAAAACGCGAGCGCTCCTTTCAAGCAGCATGAGCGCATCCCTAACGCAACAGAGAGTCAGGGCCGGGACGGCGCTGCCGAGCACGGCCGCCCAGTGCAACAGCACTGCTTTCCAGTATGGCCCAGTCTGGGGAGCCCGCTCCACTCCAGTCCTCCACAGCCAAACTCACAGGCACCATTTAAAGTCCCAACAACACAATATTGGCGTTTTTTTTGGAGGTGGGAATCTGGGGGTTGGGTCAAGCCCTCGCATGCAGCACAGGGTGAGGTTGACCATGCTGCAGAGCATCCTCAAACCATCAGCTGGGTGCACCCAATGCAATTCCACTGCCAAACCAAACCCAACCGCTTTTGTGTCTCTATCTTTGCACCTTCCCTGCTGTCCCCCAAAAAAAAGACACCACGCAGAATCACCCCTGCTGTTTGCAGCTCGGTCACCGTTACTCACCAAGGCGCTCAAGGAATGAGCTGCACGACTCTTTGCTCAGGTAGGACTAGTAAAATCCCCAACACAGAGCCTCTGGGGACCTGATTCCTCCCCCCTAACCCCACCACATAAATCAAGGATTCCCTTCCACAGTGGAAGCATCGGAACCTTCGAAAGCAAACAATACACTGAAAGGCTATTTGGCAAATTACACTTCATTATTTACTGGATTTGGCCGGAGAGGGCATGGAAAAATGAGCAGGCACCCTCGCTATCTCTGTTCTCCATCTGCTGCTTTGAGATAACAGTGAGAGAAAGTGGTTCAGTGCCCCTTTCCCTTCATCCTCATGTTACATTTTAATGCTCTGCTTTCCGTACTCTGTGGTTATAGGGACCACCCAGGAGTCCACTCCCCTCCGCCGGCTGGTTAAACGGCAGTTCACTGCTCCCGGGTGCTATGGGAAGATGAGTCAGGCTTAGGCTAAGAAAACGTTTCTAACCCCAAATTTTTACACTGAATCACTCGCAAAAACCTGCACAGAGATGACCTCCTTAGGCAAGCCACAAAGAGCAGCAGGGCAAGGTGAGGTGCCTGCAAAATGGTATTTTTATCTCTGCAACACAAGCGAGTACCTATGACCGACCCCCCCAGTTCTCTCCTGCAGGATTCATGGGGTTGGCTTCGCACATACCCAGCGAATCAATTTTTCAGTAGCGAGGGATAAGGTTTCGGTTTAGTAAGGTGAACGCTGAGCTTTGCACAAACAACACGTCAAAACAGGGAAGACTTAAAAGTGATTCCCAGGGAGAGGTCACCGGAGAAGCAAACAGGCTATTTTCAGATTTAAAAAAAAATTTTAAAAGCCAAGTGCCAGAGGAGGGTTTCTATTTAAACACCAAAATAAACCAAAATGTGCATTTCAAGGCTTCTCCTTCAAAATACGTCGGACTCGGATGATTTAGGATTGAAACAGCATCTACTTCTTTTTCCTGTTAGATCGTAGCTACTACTTAACATTTCTGCAGAAGACAAAACAGCCAAAAAGCCCCAAGCCTGCAAATGCTTGCAGAAGCCTTATTTTAGTCAGCAGCGTCCCACATCTATAGCGAAGCTCACACGTATAGAAGTAAACGTGTTCGTCAAGCTCTGCATACGTGTTTGTGGACAAGTCTTCGCCGTGTGATTCGAAAGCGACCCGGGGTGGGGGCGGGGGGAGCGGACAGTTTTTAATCTAAATTCTGCCTCTGTTGGTTTTGAGATACTGAATTTACCTAAATATCAGTTTCTTTGTTTATCTCGGAGTGTTTGGGGACCGTGAAGGGCTTCACCCAGCTCTGCCCGGTGCAACTTTGCTGGGGGCAGGGGAATTATTTCCCAGGGAGGAGAATCCAGCCCTGGCGTTGTCCAGCGCCCACAGACAAGCCCTTCACCTTCCGTTTGGGATGCCTAACAATCAGAGCCCAACAGAATTCCAGTAACAAAAGCAACCCGGGCTTAGCTCCCCCGGTTTCAGCTTTCACTGCCATCTGAAACCTGTTTCCAAGATTTTAATCAAATCTTCCTCAAATAAAACGTCTCCTTTTGTGTACCTCCCGCTGTCCGCGGAGGACACACACGCACGCGTGCGTGCGCGCACACGCGGGCTGGGAAGAAATGTATGGGCAGGAGGATTTGCCAGCACCAAACCCAGCTGTTACACCTAAGCTCGGGTTAGAAATGTCAGGGGTTTAATCCAAAAAGCAAGCGCAGCAGCGGGGGCCTGACGACCACAGCATCACATCCCAGCCTGGGTGTGCTGTATGGTTTTTACGACGCCCCTTAAAGCTTCATCCACACACGCAGTTTGCTGCCTAGATGCCATGTCCTCCTCTTGCTGCCGCCGCACTGACAGGGAACTGCATTTGATTTTCCTCCTGGGAGACCAGGCAGGGTGTTATGGTTTGATTTTTAAATACTAACAGGAGTTGCAGGCGCTCTGGAAAATTATGTCACCAGCATCCCCAGCATCTGTAGAGCAGAGATAAGTGACTGGCATTGCACGGTGGGATGGCAGAGAGGGGCATCTCTTCATCTGGTTGCAGCTTTACAGAGCAAGGGGGGATCTGGGGGCTCGTTTGAGACCCCTATTTTCCTTCCAGTTGCCTGACATCCCTGGGGATGGGATTTCAGAACGACAAGAGGCTAATAACACCTCTGACATTGCCAAGAGCCCCTGCTGAATCCCTATATGGGTTTTATGCTAAGGGGGATCGTCCCAAACCCCATCACCCCACTTGTGCTAGGTGTTGCACCAACAGAAGAGCAGCCTGGGTGAAAACCAGCCAGCAAACAGCCACAGAGGCCAAGATCACTGAGTTCATCTCCCAGCCAAATCTCCACTCTGCTCTCACCAGCCTCCGCACGTATAAACTATTTCTACACATCTGATCTTTTTAAAGGACGACAATTTACAAACTTTAGGGATTTTGACCTTAAAATGCAAACGACTCCGCCGCACGCCAAAGCATTAGCATCTGATTGCATAAGCAAAATAAATGGCAGTAAAGGGGAAAAAAAGAAAGATGCTCTGAGCAAAGGATGGGAGCAAAGTCATTTTTCAGCCGAGTTTCCACTCGGGGTCAATGCATCTTTAAAGCTCCTCTCGGCCACTCACTTTTTTCCCCATCAAAAGCCCCAGTGTGTCCTTGTCTGGTCCCTGCCTATTTTACCCGGTAGCCTGCGTGTAAATGGATGTACAGCAGGTCAGAGTGGAGCCAGCTGACCCGGCGCCCTCCTCCTGCCCTTGCTCTGATGGATGGATACCAAGGTCAGGAACCCAATGCGCTGTTGTCTCAGGTAAAAGCCCACTCCCTGCCCAGCCTCCTCTTCCCAGGCCTGAGTAACCCCGCCGTATGCTGACACCGTGGGGATTTCGGGCCCTTTGGTGGCTTGAAAGAGGCACAGGGACAAGTTTGGGAGAAGATGTGTGTCGGCTTCCAACCAGACCATTTGCAGAGAGGCAAGAAAAATCATCTCTCTGGGACTGCGCGTCCAAGGGCTGTGTAAATTTGTGCCTGCCCCCTCAAAAAAACACAGTCCTTGGGCACTGAGATAGCTGAGATGCTCCTCTGAGACCCACCCCCTGAGCAAGACAGCCACCTCGAGGTGCCCACGGTCCAGGACATTCCCCCACCGCCGGATGCCTGTGATGGAGCAGGAGGAGTTTCTCAGAGGCTCTGCAAGGAGGACATGGGTGTGCTCTCCTACCCTCTTACCATGTGTCCACGATGATGTCATGACCACCAAGCCCCCAGACTCCCCATCTCCAAGCCCGATGCTGGCTGAGCTCACTCCCTGCCCCACCGAAGCCCCTCTGTCCCAGCCTTCACCAGGATGAAAACTAGGGCAGAGTGAGGGATGGGGGAAGCTGAACCACAGCAGATTTCCCAACATCCCCCAGCTGACAGGTTTCAGCAGCCGAAAAACCTTGCTCAGGCTAAGAGGAGGCTGGGGAGAGGGGGGTCGGGAGCTGAGACCCTTCCCACGCTCCCCGACAAGCAGCCCGGGCACTGTGGAGGCACCATCTCCCCATCTCAGGTTTCCACCACCACCATCATGCAGCCCCGCTCCCCCCGGGGCAGCTTTGCCTTTCCCAGGTGCCCCCCATTCCGGAGCAGGAGTCTCGGGCAAATAACCCCGGCTGAGCCCCATGTTATTTAGGCAGGATTAGGCAAAAATTTGTCTGCACTTTTGAACTGTTTTCACAAGCGTTGCCTCTCACTCCCACGCAGGAAGGAGGAGAGGAGCCGGCCTGTTCCAATTAGGGCTCCTCAGACCGAAAGGGCAGTGAAATTCCAGGGGGAGGAAAGGGAAAGCGGGAGAGAAAGCTGGAAAAAAGGGAAGAGAGGGAAAACAGGGAAGCAAGGATATGTGGGGAGAAGGGGTGAGCAGAAGGAGAAGCATTTGGTGGGGATGCAGGGATGGGATGGGAGGAGAAGGGATGGGAGGAGAGGAGCAGGACCAGGCAGTATGGAGGGGAGATTTGACTCCCTTTCCTGCAGCAACTTGCCAGAGACTGACCCTGCTTCCCTCTGCAAAAAATGGCACAAAAGGCATAGTCATTT